AAGTTTCTAGTCTCTGGACGAAATCCCGGAGCGGGGAGTGTTTGTGTGTGTGTGTGTGGGGGGGGTGTTATCACTTAGCCTCTGGGTGCACCAGGGAATGGTCTGATGGGCCCCTTATAAATAGGTGTGAGGCGATCTCTTACACAGCCTGGTAAGTGTGCCAGAGCTGGTGATACCGGCCCGCTCCTAACAGCGGGTAAGCCGAGCATTAAGCACTTTATATACCACTTGTTATCTGCCGAGAGCTCTGCAAACATCATCTAATTAATCCTTGCAACGCCCCTGCGGAGTAGGTAAATACCATCCCCTTGATACAAAAGGGGAAACTAAGGCACTCGCCCAAGGCCACATAGTGATTCACCATCCCAGCCTTGCCTGCTTAGCCCTGCGAACAATAGACTGCCTAGCTGGGGTGCCAACCCTCCAGAATTGTCCTTGAGTCTCTAGGAATGCATCCAATTGGCAACCCCATGCTGCCCAGGATTGTCTGATTGTTCACTTGTATTCCCTGTGTCTGTCTCCATCTGTTGTCCCTCCTCTTATGCTTGGATTGGAAGCCAGGATGTTTTGTTCCGTGTTCGTACAGCACCAGGCGCGATGAGGCCCTGGTCCAATAATAAGCTGTCTGGTAACACAATTTAATAATAATGATTCTCTCCCAACTGTACTGCTAGGGGTATTGCCACAGTCTGTGTGGTGTGTTTGTGTTGTGTAAAGTGGCGAACTAGCAACTTCATCCCCAGGAAAATTGTTGATACATCATCTTTCACTCCTTGCAATGCCACTTTCCCGTGGGAGGACTCTACATGTGCCAGCAAAGCTCCCTGTTTGAATTTAATGCAAATTCCCCAGGGCTTTATCTGCCCTTTCTGTAGGTTTCGATGCAGCTGTAGCTCTAATTTGGTGATGGTATCAGTTTGCAGAATTAATTTTCGACAGCACACCTGTCCGTAGCCGCCCTGGTGGCTCTCTGCTTTGTTTGCATCTCCTCCCCAGGGGACCCCTCATCTCTTAGTTAAGACCCATCATTTTGCACAAACCAACCGGGTGGGGAGCAGGTGCCCTGGTGTGACTTTCCTGATTCTGAGGCTTTCATTGAGAGACTGACAAATTGCACACGCATCGTCTGTCCCTTTTGCTTGCGGATCATTGTAGGTTCAGAGATGCCGCCAGACGTGAGAAGCAAATGGAAACCACTCTGGCTTATTCTGTGTGATGGGCAAACCCAGCCCCCTGTTAGCTGTAAATCTGGAGGTGCTGAGCCTGTATGTTCACTTAAACAGGCACTTAAATACAGTACAGCCTTCTGGAGTATGAGTAGTGGGAGAAATTATTTGGATGCTGCTTGACTCTCCCTTGAATTCCAAGGCCTCTGTTTAAAGTTAGGGATCTGGCTAGTTGGAGTGGATTCTGGATTGCCCTCTTCTGAGAGAGCGAGAGAGAGAGAGAGAGAGAAAGACACACACACACACACACACACCCGTAGGGTGGATGCCCTGTCAGGCTGAATTTAAGCAGGGGATCTGAGCAGTCTGTATTCCGTGCTAACGGGGCCTTAAAAGCCACTGAATCAGGCCGTTGAAATCTGATCGTTGACCATGGAAGGCAGTAAGGTCTAGTGGTAAGAACAGTGGACTGGAAGTTAAACCAGCAGAGTTTGGACGAGTTGTATGTTGTCCTGGATAAGTTGACACACATTCACCGTGTCCTTGACTGTCAAACTGAAATGTGAGGGGCTGTTCCCTTCTTAACCTGCGAAGCAGAGACCTGTGGGCAGCTCATCTGCAGCGGAGCCTGGAGGGCTGTTTGTAAGCTCTGTTGTGGTCCTAGGTTGCAGGTGGACGTGGGGGAGTGATTGAGGGAGGGGAAAGCTCCCTACACTTGGTGGTGGTTGATCTGACTGTCTAGGGCCAGCCCGACTCAGCTGCAGTCTTTCATTCCTTTTGCAGAAGGAAAGTAAAGAGAAGCTATCGGTGTGCAGCAAACTGTGCTATGCTGTCGGTGGCGCTCCCTACCAGATCACTGGCTGCGCCCTGGGATTTTTCTTGCAGATCTACCTGCTGGATGTCGCACAGGTAACTCTTTCAGCCTGCCACTGAGGAGCCAGCGTCGGGGTAATACCTGGGGGCTCTGGATGCCATCATGAGAGTCTCTTAATCCAAAACGCATCCATTGTGATCCAGTCGTCTTACGGGGCTATTTTTTACTCTGACTTGATCTCGGGACGTGGGGCTTAGCACGCTTATAGTCTCCTGTCAGCAGAAGCATTGGCTGGAGAGAGATGGGGGGTAGGGGGAGGTTCCCTGATGGATCTTTCGACTTGCCCAGCTGACTGACGTTCCCTCTATGTATAAAACAGAGCAGGTGCCTGATTAGAGAGATGCCCCCAGGCTGTCTGGCTTCGAGCCGAGGCGCTTTCTTTCCTAGGAGGTGTAGCATTGAGGATTGCAGGTATAGGGGCTTTCCATTGCCTTAATCAGCTGACTGCTGGGAGGCAGCTGATGGTGAGAGGGGAGATTTGAATCCAGGGTGCTCTTGTGATAGGTGAGTTCAGCAGCTGTGAGTCATATGGCGGGAACCCCCCAAGGGCTTTCCCACACAGTAACTTTCAGTGTTGCATAAAGGAGTCTTAGATGAGCCCCGCTCCCCCACCAGTCAGTGCTGTGTCCCTTTCAGATGGGCTTTTAGCAGGGGGATTTCTGTCAAAAAAATAAAGGCGCTTTTCAAACTTGGGTGCCTAAAGTGAGCCACATGACCCCTCGTTTTCACACCGAAGTAGCTTGGTTGGGGGAATTCGTTGCAGAGTACAGAATTCTCACTGAATGCAAACAGAGTTGAGCCCCCTTGGGCGGGAAAAAGTGACCTGAAATTCAGGTGCCTACATATGGATTTAGGTGCCAGACTTCAAGCCAGAAAATTCTGCTCTGCATTTCTAAAATGCTAGCAAATTCCCCTCCAGAAAAAAGGAAGCATGGATCAGATTGGAGCGATTTCTTCAGAGGGCTTAGAGCTGGGTGCACAGTTGCTAGCACTGGGGGGCAATGTCTCCTGGGGTTTTTACTCCCAGCTTTGCCACCAATGTCCTGTGTGACCTTGTGCACCGCTCTGTGCCTCCATTTTCCCCATCTGTAAAATGGGATAATACTGACCCTCCTCTCTGAGTTTTAAGAGCTAATGACATCTGTTATGCACATGCAAAGTAGGAGTATTGGGCCTAGATGCTCTTCTGCTTCCGGTGCTGATGGAGGGTCTGGTGCTGGGAATGGTATCTGCAGAGAGCTATATATACTGATGTGATGGAGGGTGTGGGTTGGGAAGGAAGTTGTTGCTGGCCATGTTTGTGACACATTCTGGATGTAGCTAGGATGGAAAGGTGATGGCTTCTCCTACATCCTTATCTCCAAATGGGATTGTGGGCAGGCCCAGGGGCAGACTTAAGCTGACACAGGATACTGGAGGTGTTTAGTTGGTGTCTGTTGCAATGAAATTGCCAAGAGTTTAATGTGGAATGGGTAGGATGGGATGGACTGAAATCCTACTTCCAGCTGCAGGCTGCCTCTACCAGCCCCTAGGGTGGCCATCTCAAAGAGGGGGAGAGGGGTCAGATAGTCCCCTTGCCTCTGAGCCACCCTGGAAATGTGTGGAGGAGGGGCCCATGTGCACCTGCTCCATTCCCAAATGCTAAAGGTCGAGGCTAAGGTCTTCAGGGAAAGCAATCAGTCGGGGGAAGGGGCTTTGACAGCCTCAGGGTCGTGGGGTCTCTGTCTCCTTTCCAAGGCTATCCAAGTGAATTCTGTCCTCTCTTTCTATAACAGCTGGACCCTTTCTATGCCTCCATCATCCTCTTTGTGGGTCGAGCATGGGATGCTATCACCGACCCCATGGTGGGTTTCTTCATCAGTAAAACCCCTTGGAGCCGCCTCGGACGCCTGATGCCCTGGTAAGGGAAGCTTGTTGGAGCTGGGGATTTTGCGTCATGGCCTGAGGTTGGGGCTCAGCATGGACTAGCTTGGGTTCCCTCGGACACAACGGCAGCAGGGCCCTTCCAGGTCGGCTTTAGGATCCTGGGGGCCTTCTAGAGCGTAGAGGCTCGCATTGGCTACCCTGCATTTGCCTCTTGCGCTCCACTTGGAGGCCTCAAAGAAGGGTTAATGTTCTTCCCGTGTCACATGTGGGGAACCAGAGGCGCGGAAAAGGGAAGAAACTTACCCGAAATCGCACAGGGAGTCCGAGCTGGGAATAGATCTCAAGTCTGTGCGTCAAAGGGAATGGAACAGACGCTTGGCAATCCGCTAAAGGCTGAGTAATCCGTAGATGGCTTAAGTTGTGAAAGATGCCTGACTGATGAGAAGAGGCCCTAGGGACAAGGAGGGAAACTCTATTATCTCGGCCTTCCGCCTTTCGCAGCCTCCAGATAGGTGAGAGGGAAACCTGGTAGTGTGGGAATCCATGAACCCAGCAATCGATCGTTATGTGGGCCTCGCTCTCCCACAAACGACTCTGGTTCAGCCCCTGTGCTGGAGGTGCCTTGCTGTGGTTATCGACCCATGTGCAGCTGAGTGAATGGAGCTCTCTGGGGTGGGGCCGGGGACAAGGGCTGGCAGCCGTGCCGAGCTCTGTGGCCCTGAGCGATAAGAGAATGAGCTTCTGGTGGTGGGCATGCTCCTGTGGGGGGTTCTTTGATGGATCTTCAGGGTGACTTTTCTCCCTCCCCCCCCGCCCCCCCTAGATCCCTTGTTACAGAGGTGGCCACTCCTCCCAGCTCTCCTGGGAAGGGGTCATCTGAGCACTCAACTGGCTCTTGATAAGTCAGACCCTTGATTATTTGTGGATTGTGGTGGTGCCCGGAGGGGATGCCAGTCGTGGACCGGGATTCCATTGCGCTAGGCGCTGTATGAACACCGGGGACGGGAGGGAAATGAGACAAGGGGCTGGGGGGCAGACAGAGCTTTGTAAAGTAGGCTGCGGGGGAGAGGCCACGTTTCTGTAGATTGACATGTGACTCGTCAGGCGGCAGGCACAGTGTGTTCCTTTGTCGCAGTGCTGGGACACGTTGTCGTTGGGGTGGGAGGAGGGGAAGGTTCCTCTGGCTTGTGTATTGATATACACACACTGCAGCTGGTGAGATGTGTAAGTTGGTGTAGCTGGCCCCACCCCCTGGCCGCTGCTTTTATCTCCACCTGCCCTGGCGGGACGGGGGGAGGCGTCCCCAGGAAGGAAACGTACAAAGTTCCTCCCGCTGCTCATGACTGTTCGGCTGTGCTAGCGCGTATCTGAAAACCCTGCTAGAGATCGGTGGACGCCAGGGCTGCGTCCATTGCAGGAACTGAATCTGTGTTGACAGTGGTGTGGGATTTCCAAGAGCTGTAGCCTGGTTTGAATCCTCTTTTCTTCTGTGGAACTTTATGTTGTTCTCTGCGGAGCTGGTTTGACTTGGCAGGATGGGGGAGAGGGGGAGTCTGAATAGGAAGTCGAAGATGGTTCAACCAACCTCACCCCTATCCCAGCATGCACTGGGCCTGATTCTCCTCTCACCTGTGTAAATCAGGAGTAACGCCATTGAAGGCAATGAAAACTGGTGATGTAAAACCAATGCCACTGAGAACAGAAACAGGTCCCCTACTTGTCACGACTGGCTGCCCATTAGACCCTACTGTCTCTGGGGGACAGAGCCACAGGGCTTTGCTCCAATACGCGTGTTGCAGGGTGTCGGGCTTGGCTTTTTATCCAGACTGGTTTCCTGGCAAATCTGCCCTATGTTAGGAATGAAGCAGTTGGAAGGTGAGAGCTGTCTGTCTCCGGAGCGGCAGTATTGTCCATCCCAGCCATTCAGGAGGGGGTGGTATGTATGGGAGGGGGGTGTGCAGCCAAGGCTGTTTCTGATGCACCTGTTACTTCTGCAGCCAGGGTCAGTGGGTTGTGGAAAGCCACGTGATTTACAGCTGATTCTGCAGGGGAGAAAGTAACTGGAGACGGGGCCTGAGTTGGCAGTGGCAATACGTGTGCTCTTTCCTTGCTAGATGTTCTCGCTTTGCGCTTCTCTGCCCTCCCACTTTGGCGAGCGGGACTCTAGGCACGTGCACGGACAGGACATGTCCAAGAGAAGCAGGGTGTGGAGTGGACAGGAGCTAGATGGTTCAGAGCACTGAGAGCATGGTGAGGGGATGCAGCACCTTCCCCCTCTAGGAGCCCGGGTTCTAGTCAGCTGCAGGGTGCTAGCAACTGAAAACCGTGACTCATTGGTCTCTGTTGAATGAGCCGGTGCCAACCTGATTTCATGCAGGCAGGTATCTGCTCACAGAAAACAGCACTACGCGTCGGCAGAGAAATTAGGACAGTGTCCGGGGGCTTGATCTCCACCTGCTGCCTCTCCGGGTGAGCATAGAGGCACATTAGCCATGCAGTGTGCATCTGCCCTGTGGCTAAAGAGCTAACATCCGTCTCCAGGGCAGTCGATCTAGCACCTGGCAGCATTGCTGAAATGTCAAGTAGAGAAGGGGGTGGGAGGAGGAGATGAGGAGGTGGAAATTAGCGGGACTGGTCCTTTCCCCCACAGGCGGCAGTTGCATCCCTCTGTTCCCTGGGGTTCTAATGAAAAACGTGCTGTCCTGTTTTTATTGATCTAAACCAGGCTTCACACATAGACCAAAAATAGTTTCCCTCCCCACTGCGCATGTTGTGAGGTCTTAGGAATTGGAGGAATGGCTGTGAGCAAGGAGCAGCAGCTGTCTGGGTGGGTTCCAAGGCAGAGCTAGCAGAGCGCTGTTCTTTAATTGCTCTATATTTGAACATCTAGAAATACTGGGAGTCCTCTGGTGTGCTACAGTCTCGTGCCTTTAAGGCTGGGGTTGGGGAGAAGGGTCACAGGGGACTTAATATTCACATTCCACTGAACAATGCTTGCACCTTTCAAATTATACTGGGCCTTAGACCTTGGAATCCTGCCTCATTGCTAAGGTAGGAGAGCAGCGTGTCTACTAGTTGAGCATGGTGGCTTCTATTCATGGCTAGAACTATAGACCCTCCCACTGACTTAAACGGGACTCCCTGTGCATGGGCAAGGGTGGGGCCCTCTATCACTGTGGATCTCAGTTTCCCTATCTGTAAAATAGGAATGATACTTAATTTTTCATCTGTATCGCCCTGAGATCTCTGCCCGGTTCGTTTGTATAACTTGCTTTTAATGAGCCCTGATCACCCGTCAACATCCTCTTATAACCTGCTTCATAAACAAGGCAGATCTACCAAGGAATTTTTTGGTAACTATTCTAAATATTACCCCCAGCTGTACCCTTTTAAGCTGTGGAATAAGGTCCACTTGGTGGGTACATCTGGCTGTAATTCTGCTGCGTGTGGTGACGCGGGGCGGTGCGTGTGTCCCCGGGACCCAGGATAAAATTGTAAGCTATACAATGGCTTGATAGTTCACTTACCAAAATAAAATGTCCCTCTCTGGTGCCCTCTTGTTATAATTTTGGTCTCTTAAACTTGGATTCCCCATATGCTCCCCCGTGCCCCCAAATTCATCCCACATGGATTTCCTTCTCTGTTCACTGAAGTCACCCTAACAGCTGTGCCAGCCAGCAATGTGCTCCCTCTGATCTAAGTGCCCTGCTCTCGCTTCTTCTGGGGGAATTTGGGGCTCTCAGCACCCCCTTTATTTAAGAGGCCCTGTTGCAAACTTCCGTTGCAGATAACTCAAGAGCCTGTGTCCTATCCGCAGACTGCGGCTAGGGAAAGGATTCCGCTCCAGCAGAGGAAACAGTTAAAGATTAAGGGCGGGGGTGCCGCTTTCAGAGGAACATGCCATCCCGACTTGGCCAATGGGGAGGGAGGGTGTGCGGCATAGCATGGTGGAGCTAATTGCCACAGTCCTGCTCAGAGGTTACTACGAGTCAGTCTCCTGGCTGGAAGCTGCAGCATGAGTGGTGGCTACGGGGTGGGAGGCAGGGTGAGCTGATCTACTGATTCCTTAGCTACGCAGGCCACGCACATGGCTCTAATCCCAGATGTCCAAGTAGTGGGGTGGGGGGAGTCTGCCCAGCAGGCATCCGAAACGGACCCTTGTTTGTAACCTTGCAGCGCACCCCTGCTGTCCTGCTCGGGTGCCCCCTCCGCAGCAGGCCTGGGAATGTGCTCGCTCCTGGAGCTTCGGATCTGCGTAAAAGTTTATGGAGATTCTGAATGACTCAACGTGCGCGAGACGCGATGGGAGAGGAGTGGCTGCCGGGCTCTGTGCTTTCCACTGCTTCCTGGCCTCGTCGTCACTCTCGCCTGCTCCCCGCCCCGTGGAAATGACCGATGCAGGGAAAAATGTGAATGTCGGGTCATGTATTTCCCCCTCTCCCCCTATGTGGCTGCTGTCGGTGTGCTTAGAATACAGTGTCTCGCACCCTGGGAGTTTAAATTGAACTCCCTGTCTTGCCATGTCAATCCAGAAAGGAAAGAGACCCGTTCTCCTCTCTGTACCACAGGAAACAATAAATCCGGATCCTCTCTCCAACGCCTCTGGGATTGTAAACGCCACGAGGCAGGGACTGCAAAACCTAGTCCAGTGGGACAGTGAGTCTGATGGGGGCTTCTAGGCCTTCCCGCAGCCTGAGTGTTCGGCTCCATTTCCCCATGGGACTGATCTAGCCCTAGCTGCAGTATTCGGGGCGGGGGTCGCCTTACTCCAAAGAAGAAACTGCTTCTCTTTCTTCCCTCTCCCCCGCCCCACATTATTGGGGGGCCATTCAGACCTTCCCAGAAAAAATGGGATGCATCAAGGTACCAAATTCCCAGGGATTCTGCTTGTCTCTCGCCTTGTGGGTTCTTGCTGGTGGTGCTGTCACAGGGATGTCGTCCCTCTGAACCAGCCTCCCCCCGCCCCTTCCCATTCCCCTCTGGGATACGGTGATACTGAATGGAAACTGGAAAGGCCTTATTCCTGTTAGAGCCTGAACTCCAGCGGGCCCCTGGGAGCTGTCTCAGTCCCTGCAGTGGAGGTGACGTATGGGTGGGGGACAAATCACTCCCTTTGCGTGATTGTGAAGTGGGAGGACCCCCCCCCCCACCCTTGCCCTTCTCCGGATGTGGGGAATCTCCTTTGCTCTCTCTGGGTAGGTTTACGCTGGAGGGATTTTTACCTCCATTTACTTAGTCGCCAGTTAACATTCGCCCCTTTGTAAAGGCTGGACGCTCCCCAAGCACTTGGTCCCAGCGACAGCAATGTGTGTGACTCAGCCGAGCGACAAGGATACAGGTTTGTGTTGGGGGCTGATGGGCCACGCCCAGCCTCCGACCTGCTGCAGTATCCCCAGGTAGTGCCAAGCTGACTGCAGGGTAGAGGGGAGGATTTGGGCTCTAAAACCAGCTCCCGTCTCTTGTTCTGGCTAGTGGTGAGCGAACCAGCTCCCTGGAGCTCTGCTGGCGGGTCCTGTTAGGGAGTCGCTCCCGGAGCCAGACACAGGCTTCCTGCTTTCCAGTCCACTTCCACCTCCCTCTCTCCCCACTCCGGACAGGATCAAAGGAAAGAGCCAGCTAGTCTCTGGGGTCTGAAGATGAACTCTTCCTTTGCTAACTAATGTCTGTCTCTGCTTGGGGAAATGGGCCTTATCCCGCCCTCCCTCATGCTGCAGGCTTGATTGGCGTGTGTAAAATACTCCGGAATCCTTGCAGCTCTGCCCTGCTAAGACAAGCCAGGCTGCTTGCCGCTCAGCCTCCGGGTGGCTAGGATGTGGAGGGAGGGTTTGCCGCCCGAACTGGTTCTTTCACCCTTGCTCCTGCGGGCTGCTTAGCCAAGAAGGGAGAGAAGGCTGCCGAACAAGCTCTTGCATCTCGTCCTGTGCAGAGCACTGCTCGACTTGGACGAGAGCCAGGGACAGAAGGAGAAACTAAGAATGGAGATGGTGCCCTGTCCCTTCATCTTGTACAGGCAGGATGGGTAGGGCAGGATCCAGGTCCCAAGGAGTTTCAGGGGCTCTCGGACGCTGATCTGCCTCTGCTGGGAAACGGTCTCCCAGCTACATGTGCTGTTTTGTAATGGTAGCATCTAGAGCAGGGCCCCGTTGTGGCCTACAAAAGGAGGTGATGGTCCCAGAGAGCTGACAACTTAAATCATTTAAACGTGTTCTGTGGGAGCAGATGGGTTCTCGGCTCCTTGCTGTGCCCCATCCCTCACCCCGTTCCAGCCCCTGCATCATTTCACCTCCTCCAAATAGACAAACCATTGACCTGACATCCCCTCGGCTTGTTCGCCCAGCAGCCCCACCCTGCTCCAGGCAGGGGATTTGGTCTCTGAGATCAAAGCCTTTCTCCGCAAACCTCCGTCAGCTCTTTATCTCTTGGCTCTCTTCTCTCTCCCCATCTCGAATGTTCTGTACTTTGTGGTGTTTTAAATAGCCCCTTTGCGGAGAGGACCATGGGGGCTGAGATCAGGAGTACAGCACACAGTTTAGAGCAAGCCAAGGGAAAGATTTAAGACCAAGCTAAGGGGTTTAGGTGCCCAGATCCCTTTGAAAGTCGTGACAGGCGCCTAATTGCACATCGAGTCGTGAGCCAGCAGTCAGGAAGGGGAATCTGCCTGGGAGGTTGGATCTTCAGCCACAGTACAATATTAGGGCATCATGGGACCGGCATCCTACCACAGGGCTCGTGTGATGTGGCATTCAGCAGTCTCTGGCTTCGGGTTAACTTGGGGTAGTGAAGTGGAGGCAAGAGGAAAGCATCAGAGAACATGATGAGTCAGGCTGGAGGACCCTGTTAGACGTGCCCATGTCCCACTGTGCCTGAAAAGCTGCTCCTCTTTGATTAGAGACAGAAATTCTTATGGGCCTATCTTCTGCATTTCTAAGTACCTACCCCCAGGAAATGGACCAGTGGTCCAACTACTAGACCATCTTGTCTCCAATGGTGGTCCATGCAGGGTACGTCAAAGCAAACTCCCGGATGTAATGCGCCCAGTTGCACAATATTTTTCCCAAGGGCTGGAACTGCTTCTTGGGTTGGCTCATGTCCTGCAGCTTGAGGAGCAAGGCCTTTGTATCAGCCCAGCTGCTGTGAGGGTGGGTGCTTGTCACTGTTCATGCTGATGGTTTTTTCTCTCGTTCCCCCAAAGGATCATCTTCTCCACTCCATTCGCTGTGATCTCCTACTTCCTGATATGGTTTGTGCCAGACCTCTCGAGTGGCCAAGTGATGTGGTATCTTCTCTTCTACTGCATGTTCCAGACGCTTGTGACGGTGAGTCCGCCCTCCATGTGCACAACTGGGCTCCTTTTTGGGGGGGGAAGAAGGCAACCTTTTCTCACCTGCCCGATGGAGCCGAGGAGTGGTGCCACAATGGCAGGGTTGGCACAAGCCACCCTGAAAGGAGTGAGAGCATCCGTAAGGGCTGTCCTTAGACCGCCAGAGTCATCTGGGTTTCCCACCACCGATTCTACAACTAGGGTGACCAGACGTCCCGATAAAATCGGGCCCATCCTGATTTTTCGGTGTTTGTTCCAACCAGAGATCGGTCAGAACACAATTTGTCCCGATATTTTGCTCCACCGGCAGCACTCGTCGGGGTCCCCACCACCACCAATGCACACACGCTCCCCAGTGTCCTGATATTTTTCTTCCTCTTATCTGGTCACCCTATCTACAACTCACAGACGTGCCTCTGGCCATGGGGCCAGCCTGTTGGCTGATCTGCCGTGGGGACTGGAGAGGCAAGACAAGTCATAGCTCATCTCCTCCTCCCTCCAGCAGTTTGGGGGACCCCTCCAAGGCCAGTCCTGGCTGGGGTGGAGCATTACGGAGGGGAGCGAGGATTCCCATTTACTCTTCTATATAGTCTGTACCTGGATGGAATTTCCTTCCCGCAAAAGAATCTTCCAACCTACTCAACCTATGGCCTGCTGTCAGGGTCTCATTGGGGTCTGTAGCATGAATTCCCTTGATCTCCATGAATGTTTGTGAACAAAGGGTTAACTTTTTCTCTCTTCCCATCCGCCCTGTTTCTCGTTGCAGTGTTTCCATGTTCCCTATTCAGCGCTCACGATGTTCATCAGCAGGGAGCAGAGCGAACGGGATTCCGCTACCGCCTATCGTAAGAGCCCTTCCCATCTCCCTTTACAATTGCAGTGTCAGTGCTTTCCACCTCCCACGGCTTGGGTGCAGCCGCAGCAGTGTATATGCTCCCGGGGTTTGGCTGCTGGTCGCTGGGAGGCAGCAGGTTTCTCCGTTCCATACCCTGTCCACTACATGTGCAGGCGTGTGGGGGGGGGGGGAGGGGAGGGATGTCCCTTGCTGCTCCTGCAGGATGTGTGTAAGATCATCTGCAAGTGTACAGCCATGTGTCCAAGCGTGTTTGCACATGTACACGTTGGCAATGAGGATCCTGTTCTGAAAGTCTTCCAAAGCTCCCTGCACCTCTCTGCATTGCAGCTCTCTCAGATCCCACTTCTTCGACTAAAGGGACCCTCGGTTTAATGTCCACGTCTGACCTGCCTTGTGGCAGGAGTCTGTCTGGACGGGACTCTGCCCGCTGATAGTTTGTCCGCTGGAGAGCACAGTGGTTAGAGCAGGAGACTGGGAATCTGGAGCTCTTGGGTTCTGTTCCCAGCCTTGACGCTGAGCTGCTGTGTGACCTGGGGCAAATCCCGTCACCTCTCTGTGCCTGTTTTCCCTCAGTGGGGATACCTTCCTCCCATAGGCTTGGAGATCTGGAGAAGCGACTGCTCTCGTCTCTGGCTGGGTGGGTGCGGTGTGTCACTTGATGGCTTTAATGTTCTGGATGTCTACACATTCTGGAGGTTTGCCTCTGGAGGAGCAGGCATTCGCAGCCGCTCTCCTCACTTTATTGGGCCAAGGCGTTGACGCGGTAATGACCCGCCTGGCTCCTCTGTTCAGGTATGACGGTGGAGGTGCTGGGCACCGTGCTGGGTACAGCCATCCAGGGGCAGATCGTGGGCCAGGTGGACACGCCGTGCATTCAGGACTCCCGCCTCTTTGGCGTCACTAACTCCTCGGTGGCCATGGAGGAGGTGAACATTACCCGTGATGCCGGCTCCCTCACGGACACGGTAGGTCTGTGGCACCCTGGCCGCTCATCCTCACTCTGCTCAGGGACTCTCCTCTTTCATTGCAGCCTCTCCGGCGCTGCCTCAGCCAGACTCTGGAGGCAGGAAAGCGTGTGACAATCATGTGCTGAGTCACTTCGCCCTGCCTCCAGAGAAATCCCTACAGGCTGAGACTGGGCCCCACTAGCTGCTGTGTAACTAAGGAATTTAGGAGTACCTTAGGAACTTGGGGTACCGATCTCCATGCAACAGGTATGGAGCTAAAATACAGTAGAGCCTCATGGCTCATCGGAACTGGATTCAGTTGCAGACGCAAATCCAGGTGCCTGTGGGGTGCATGGTCCCTTCGTTTATGGTGAGAACTGGCTGCAGAGAGGGAAGTCCGTTGTTCAGGTTCCCCTGGCCTTATCAGGGGGTGGAGCAGGGAGCTTTTTATGCAGCCCCATAGCACAGCATAGACTCTGCCCCACCCCAGTCTGTAGCGAGAGCTCCGTCCGGTTCTGCTGGCGCACGCGTGACGCTGACTGCGCCATTGTCTAGAGCTCCCCAAGAGCGGCTGGTAGAAGGGGCCTGGCGGAGCAGCCTCGCTAACTGGATCTGCATCTGTCTTGCACAGAGAAACGCCTACATGATTGCAGCGGGAGTCATTGGTGGGATCTACATACTCTGTGCCATCGTCCTGTTTCTGGGCGTGCGGGAGAAGCGAGGTGAGTGTGGGAGGGGGAGGAAGGCCCTTATGTTGGCATTTGCAATGTCCAGAGTCCAGAAGGGCTTTCCAAGCAACAGACCAGGCTGGACCCTGTACGTGGGTCATCTCGCCTCTTCCAGAGGGGTTAGAACAGTGGTTCCTTAGCCACGCGTCTTTCCCCTAATCGTATGGGCAGAAAGTGGGGAACAAACACGGAAGGGGAAATTGCAGGAGATGGGAATTCCTATTAAAAGCTGTCCTCACCTGCTTCAGGCGAAGCTGCACCCAGGGTCATACTCTGGCTTTAAGCAGCCGGCCAGGAGCACAGGACAATGTTTTATGCTGATCTCTTTAAATGGGCCCCTTTGTGAGCCAAGTGCCTCTGGGCTGAAGTCATCCAGGCCATTCAAACCTGAGCTGTGTTTAGAAGGCACGTTCTTCAAACAGCCCCTCCCCTGGCAGGCACTCTCCCTGCTATGCTAACTGAACACACCGCACGCTGGCTCCCAACCCTGCTCTTAAGCAGTTAGTTCGGATCTGGGAAGTTCAGCTCTGCACGAACCGGGAACGCTGCCCGTCCTGCGCTAAACCAACATGTGCCAGTATGAGGAGCAGAGACCAGGGCGCTTGTTACACAGCTGAAGCCCTGGAGGGGGTAGGGTTCCATTCAAGGGCGTAGGCTGGGGAGGGGTGTACGGTGCGAATGCAAAGGATCCTCTCCTGGGCTTGATGGGTTCGATGCCTGGAGCCCAACTCTCCCTGGGAGTTGAAGTACTTCCCCCTTCCACGCCTCTCTTCCTGGCTGGTGCTGTTGATACCTGGTTATCTGCCAAAACTAGGGCGAGCGGGAATCCAGGTTATTGTAAACCAGGATGGGTATGGAGTGGGGGTGGGGGGGAAAAACCGCTTCAGACACCCTTTCTTGTGTGTAAACCTCCATGGAAAGACTGTGTCAGTGGCAAGATGGCACGGCTCACTGGAGAATTTCAAGGAGACCCTATTACTGCAGGAAACCATCTGGGAGAACTTGTCTTCCTGCCCAGTATTTACCCGGGTCAGTGTTTTGCTGCCTGGCTTTGGCTGACAATGTCTAGCCTCCAATATGCTGGCTGGACTCGGGCTATTCCATAGCTGCGATAACAATGCGGAGTGGGATTTATTTCTGAGCCCAGCTGGGTTTCGTCCCGCTCTCCCCACCCTTAACAGGACACCTGCACTGGAGCAGTGCTCTGCTGATCATGGGACAAAGGGGAGCAGAGATCTGGGTGCCAGGGACTTTAGAATTTTAGTCCCAGCTCTGCCACTGACTTGCTGTGTAGCCTTGGGTGAATCACTTAACTGGTCTGTGCCTCAGTTTCCCTATCTCTAAAATGGGAACTTGCCTCACAGGAGTGGTGAGGATGGGATGTCTTGCCGTACTTGGGAAGATGGCTGTTACGGGGGTCAGTGGAGGTGCCGAGGCTGGCTAATACTGAGTCTCAGGGGTGCCTTTTTCATACCAGTGTACTGCAGTAATGGGCTCCCTGTCTGTTATAGCACTGGGGCCTGTTATGCCAGGGTGCCTTTAGAAAGGTCTCTAATCACCTGCTGATCCTGCTCTGCTCCCTAGATGCCTCTGAGCTCCAGTCGGATGAGCCCATCTCTTTCTTCCGGGGGCTGAAGCTGGTGATGAAACACGGTGCCTACATCAAGCTGATTGCTGGCTTCCTCTTCACCTCGCTCGCCTTCATGGTGAGGAACTGCCTGGGGAGGGACAGTGTGGCTTAGAGCCCACCTGGAGGTGGGAGGAAATGCATAACTGGCTGAGGACTGTCTGATGGACCTGTAGGAGAGCGGCGGCAGGGGTGGGGGAAATACCAGAAATCTGGACAGAGACGGATAACATCAAGGCCTGTGGCATCCCCTGCAGCAGCCGAGGTGGGCCGTCCGCCCTGATCGGAGGTGAAATATGTGCTTCTCTTCATGCTGCTGGTAAATGTGGATTGTGCCTGCTCACTCTTTCCCTCTGCTCAGGGGGCTGACGTAGTCCATCTTCCTCCTGTCTCCAGCACCCTTCTGCCATAGCTATCCATCCCCTTCCCAGCACGATGCGAGTGCCAGTACCTGTCCTCCTGTGACCTAGGCCTGTTAGCCCTTCTTTGACCCTGCCACTCTGGTGGCCTGGGTCGTGTTTAGGGATGTGTCGGACAATCCCTGCCCAGAGAGGGAATTCCTGAGCTGATGCGTTGAGGGCAAAGGGTGTTGGAATCTTAGACCTGTTTGCTGAGTCCCCTTGGAAGGGGTGGGGGGATTTCCCTCTCGCTACAATACACTCAAGGCCTGCCTACAGCAGCGGGCTGCGTTCGTACAGCCCCGAGCATGTCTGTGCACTGGGTCCAGCTAGACCACTTTGGCGTTTTCCCTGTGGGGTGGGTCTGGGGGCTGCAGGGAATCCCGTTTCTCCGTGGGAGGCTGTTCAGTGCATTTTCCCCCTGGAAGGGGGAATCTCCCTGTTCCGTTCTGCTCTGCTGACCTCCCGTGTCTGTTTCCTTCCCCAGCTGCTGGAAGGGAACTTTGCCTTGTTTTGTACCTACACCCTGGGATTCCGCAACGAATTCCAGAACATCCTCCTAGCCATCATGGTACGTCTGGCGCGTGCGAGTACATGGCACCCCTTCCCCCGACCCTGCCTGCCTGGGCTAGGCAGACTGTCAGCTCTTGGAGGTAGTGAGACTGTCTGTCTGTACAGCACCGAGCACAATGGGGCCCTGATCTCCCTGGGTCCCTAGACAATACAGTAATAAACATGATGAATAATAATAATTGCTGTCCCCTTCACCTGGCGGTCTCCTCCTTTCTATACTCAGGAGCCCACTGGTTGGTGAGGGTGGGGACTTGACTGTAGTGGTCTAAGAGCCTAAAGCAGAGATGGGGAGCCCTAGGTGAGGGGAGATCAGGGCTGGAAGAGCCTGGCATGTGGGGGAAGGTGACTGGAGGTTGCCTCAGGAGTGGGGGGAGGGGTAATGAGTTACTTAACGTGGCTCCTGGAAAGACACGGCCAGTTGGCAAGAACAGCGAGTCCTTTGTCCGCATTTGAAGCGGACCATGAAAAAGGGGAGAATAAAAGCCGCGCGGGCCCTTTGTCTAAACCCTGCCATTTTTTTTCTTCTTTCCATGAGGGGGGGAAAAAGGAGCCCTGAGTGGTGATTGCAGGGAAGCACTGAATGGAGGGAACAGAGCGGATTGTCTGGGAACCCTTTGCACGTTGCTAGATGGAGAAAGAATGGGGGAGGGGGCCGGGGAAGCATTGTGGCGTGAAACATTTTGCCCTGCCAGAAAGGCAGTGAAAGAAAGAAAACCCAGCCCTGGTTCTAAGGAAATGCAAGGGCTCGAAAGCAATGGAAGCAAGAGACCAATCCCATAGCTGAATGCACCTCCCTGGCCCCGTGAAGACCAGGATGTTGGTCATGTGTCTGGCTGCAGCCCGTTGGGTCTCTTCTATTCTAGGCTGGCTCCCTGCAAGGGAGGGGCTGTCTTGCTTCAGAGCAGCCTGGCAAAGTCGTCACGAACGTCCATCAGACCTGGTCCAGAATAGACTCTCTTCCAACGCTTGCCCTCTGAGGACGAGCCAACGGGCTTTGCAAGACGGCTTCTGTAAAGGCGCTGGTGCAAGTCTAGGTGGGCTTCGAGAAGGTCCTTTAGAGCCAGGATGGTCTTGTGGCTAGGGCCTTGTGTTGATGAGTGAAACACCCAAGGGGGCTCCAACCACAGGCAAAAGAGGGTCCAAATTCATCTGTCCTGCATCCAGGCCTGAGCTCAGGCTGACACCCCAACCATCTCCATTCCTGCTGCATTAGAGATTAACACGTGTCTGGTGGACAAAGCATCTATGGAGACTGGTTGGCCTGAGTCATGTGTCTTTTCCCCTCTCTCTCCTGCAGCTCTCTGCCACCTTGTCTATCCCCCTCTGGCAATGGTTCCTTATGCGCTTTGGGAAGAAAACTGCTGTGTATGTTGGGATCTCGGTAAGTAAGTCTCCTGGGGTCACAGAGGGGCAGAGAGTGGCTTGTTACTGTGTGCCTCGTAGGGAATCCTAGCAAGTGGAGGTGAAGAAAGACCAAAGCAGGGGATCTAAACCTCACCCCTCTAGGTAGCGGTTCCAAATCGGGTCAGGAGTGATCAGAAGTTACCATCATCACCTGACATTCATTCACTGGCCTCTCTCTACTTCTTAGTGGTGTCACAAAGGGCACTTCTTGGTAGTCACGGCAGAGAGGCCAAGGACAGACTGGGCCATGGAGACTGAATTATCCTCTGAACCTGGGACATGGGCCCTCCAGGGCAGGGTGTTGGTGGGACAGCATTAGAAAGGTTGTGTTACTGCTGCCTATGCTGTGGGTAGATCCTACCCTATCAGCCAGCACCTCCAAGTGCTGAAACTCACATGAGAGGGAAGATGGGGGAGGCCAATTGGCTCATCAGGTCCATCTTGATTATCTGCTGCCTGGCGGGTGAGGTGACACCTCTGTTCTTTCCTGGCTCCGCAGTCTGCCATCCCCTTCCTCATCATGGTTGTCGTTCTGGACAGTAACTTGATCGTCACCTACGTTGTGGCCATTGCAGCTGGGATCAGTGTCGCTGCTGCCTTCCTCTTGCCGTGGTGAGTGTGAGGCCTCCGGGCTCAGGCAACCACAGAACTAGGATCCTGCGTTTTCTATCGCTGCTAGGCTGGTAGACACCCGCTGATGCACAGCGGTGACGTCTGGGCTGATGTCTCTAGTGCTGGGGGTCGGATCCAGGATGAGGCGATTCCTGAGGTCTTGAGCCTTCTCCTTTCAGTACACAGGGCATTGTGGGCCTTTTCAGTATGAAGGTGAACCCACAATCTATGGCCCTTTCCCAAGTCTCTGCCCCTCTGTACTGTTATTGGAGGGGAAGAAATTGGAAGTCTGTAATTTGGGGGTGGGGACCTCCCATGTCTCTGCTTTGGAAGGGGAAGTGTGGGCTCCACTGAAGACTTGAGGGTTTCATTAGCCTCTGTCTGAGACTCACACACTCTCCTCTCTTGTCTCAGGTCCATGCTGCCAGATGTCATAGACGACTTCAACCTCCAGCACCCAGACTCCCGTGGCCATGAAGCTATTTTCTTCTCCTTTTACGTCTTCTTCACCAAGTTTGCCTCCGGGGTGTCTCTGGGGATCTCCACACTCAGCTTAGAGTGAGTCCTGTCAGCACACCGAGCCTGGAGGCAGGGGGGGCTTGTTAGGAGAGCTGGTAGCTGGGACAGAGAAGGAAGGCTTCTCTCAGACCCTGCAGTCTGGTGCCTCTCCATTTTTAGCTACAAAACCATGAAGGGAATTGGGATTAGATGTCCAGAGGCTGGCACTGAAGGCAGCTCCAGGTGCATCTCCCCTGCAGCCCTCCTCCTAGGAGGGAGGCTCATTCCAAGTTTGCAGTGAATAAGCACTAAAAGGAGACATCTTAGGAACTGGCCTTTCTCTGTGGTAGTGAATTGAGGTGCTACCTCTTGCTGTGCTAGCCCCTTGGCCAGAGCATGTCCCGGCCTTTGACTGATTTCTTCTCCCAACACCCCCATGAAGCAGGGCAGTGCTACTGTCCCTCTCTTACCGACGGGGACCTGAAGCACAGACAGGCTAAGTGACTTGCTCAAAGTCACACAGGATGTCTGTGGTGGAGCAAGGAGGCTCCAGGCTGACACCCTCCTCACTAGGCTGGCTTTCCTCCATTGCTCCATCAGGGGGGATGGAACAGACCGCATAGCTGTGAGCTTCTAGATCGTGGCGGCTGTTGGCTTTGGGGCTGGAGGAGGAGATGCTCCTTGCTAGATGGAGGAGGGTTGATGTGATGCTAAAGCAGCGAACGCTGGCTCAGCGGTAATTCCCTGGGAATCCTGATCTGTCTCATGGCTGTTCTTCCCCTGAGAGGTACCTCTGGAGAGCTAGGACTGAGCTGGTGTGGAGAGAGGAGGTTGGTAATAGCCTCATGCATTTCCCTTGCTTGACAGTTCCTGTTCTCTTAGCTTTGCAGGCTATAAGACCCGGGGATGCTCCCAGCCCGAGGAGGTGAAATTCACGCTGAAGATGCTGGTATCAGCAGCCCCGGTGGGGTTGATCCTGCTGGGCCTGCTCCTATTCAAGCTGTACCCCATTGACGAGGACAGGCGGAGGGAAAACAAGAAGGCCCTGCAGGATTTAAGGTAAGGGCTGGCACGGCCCTCTCTGTGCTGCAGGGGAAGGACTGCACTCATTGGGTTGGGAAAGTTCCAGAAGAGAGTGATGGGAAAGGGCAACGGTTCTCACTAGTGCCCTACCAGCTCTAGTGCTGGGAGAACCTGCCCTGGCTTTGCAGGTCACTGGGAGGCTGAGGAAGGTGGCTAGTCCTTCAGCCCGTAGGAGGCTGACAATCTCTCCCATGAGGATCTGCACTTCCAGCTAGCCTCCTGCAGCCCTGCCGCACCGCCTGCCCTTTGACGGGTAGCCGAGAGACCCTGCCGCGCTGCTCAGTGGCGTCACCCAGCAGGTAGCATCTTAAGGCTGCTCCGTCGTAAGATACCAAGGGTATTGCTAGAGGTGGAGCAGGACTCCCCCAGCCGCGGCGCTGCCTCCGGTACATTGCTGTGGGATGGTAAAGTACTGCCATGAATATAAATACACGTGGAGCGTGGTGCATTGCCTGTTCCCGTGGCTGCGGCAGTGCTGCTGCCTGGCTTTCCGCTGCGGGAGCGGGCGGTCTCTGCTGCTTCCCCCAGACCCAGCTCAGGGCCGCGTTTACTGACTTGGTGGAGCCTGCGAGAAGTAAAAGAAATAAACGTTGGCGTTACGGCTGGGCCTGGGAAACGAAGCCTTTCCCTAGAAGGCCTCTAGTTCAATCTGCTCCAGAACCGGGCTGAGAAAGCTGTTGAGCATTTCACAACCATTCGGTGGCCTCTGTTACAAGGGGGTCAGGCCTCCATCCGGTTCCTAGTGGAGGGAAAGGTGTCCACCTCGCAGAAATGGCTCTTCTGTCACCCTGCTGGTAGTCGGGGCTGGAGAGGGGAACGTACAGTCCTCTCTGCCCTGGCGGCGTTGACTCCAGAGCCCGGAGACATTGGCAGCGAATGGCCCCATTGTTCCCATCCTGCAGCTAAGAGGAGGGCTCCCTTCCCTGTAACTATCCCTCGCTAACCCCCTCTGGCTCGCTGGCCTTCGCTTTCGAGCCCAGAGCGCTCTCTGCATGGGGATACCAGCTGGCGGGAAGGGGGCCATTCCTGTCTGATGCCCACCAATGCTTCCCTTCCCAGGGAGGAGGAAAACAGCAGCGACTCGGACTCCACGGAACTCGCCAGCATCGTGTGACCCCGGCTCACCTCCATCTACTGTTTACACACTGGGCGTCTTCAGGGACTGGACGGGGTCGCTGCCGAGTAACCACGTTACCCAGAACTCCTGGAGATGCTGGTGACGTGCTACGCGGGGCTTTGTGGAGCATCTGTGGTGAATGTTACATGGGATCTGCGGGCAGTGGTCTCGGGCCATCCATGGGATCCATAGAGTGCCGGTAGTGTACGTTACACGGGATCTATTCAGTACTGCACTAATGTGCCTCTTAACGAACAAACACTACACCAGCCTGGCCCGCGCAGCGCTGTCTGCAGAGCACAGCAGCCTGAGCCAGGAAGCTATTGCTCGTAACACACAGGAGACTTGTGCGTACTCTCTGCCTCTCACACACTGATTTGCCTGCTACTGCAGGCACTGAATATGGCACAGATCCTTGCAGTATTGTCTCTGGATCACTCGTGGACCCATGTGGTGCTGGTAGTGTACATTACACTGTTAATGTGAATGAGATGAAGATTAACTCACCTGTACTATCTGTAAAATAAGGACACTAATGTAGAAAGAGCTGGGTTTTTTTTATAAAGTCTAATTAATTAAATAACTTAATGATTTGTACATAGAAATTATTTTTCCCTATTTGTATATGTCTGTATGGAATCCAAACTGGAACTATTAATATTAATTTACATAAAAGTGGGGAAATGTCACCTGGATTGGTGTGATGGATTTTTTTTCTCTCCCCTCTTCCCCCCTCCCCCCCCCGTGGATATTGTCCTTACAAGGACACAAGGTAGCTGAGAGTCAGAGAGTGCCAGCTCTGCTTTACCATGCGGGGCATGTTGGCACTCTTCCTGTCTAGATGGAAGGCAGATTCCAGGGCAGAAATGTCAGTGAACTGGATGAATTCCCAGTTCCCTCCTGGCAGAACTAGAGTCCTTTAGATTCCCAATTCCACAGACCTGAGTTCCTCTCCTCTAGTCACCCTGTAGGACTGACTTCTCTCACAGACCAGAGGCACTGGAATGCCTTAATCCCTGGCACTTTGAATGTGCTGTACATACACTTAACCCTTTCCCTCCTCTCTGCTCAACACCCACACTGGAAGAACCCAACAAAGCTCCTGTTCTTTTCCTCTAAAAACCAATTGGGCGGGTGGGAGATGAAATAAAGGAACCAGTGGCCGAGATTCTCAAGGCCGGGCTGGAAAGGGGAGAGGTGGCTGGGGGCCAACAAAAAGCCAACGCCACTTTTCCGTGACACTTAACAGATAGGTGGGCCAGGCCTTGCTAGAACTCCCACCAGGCAGCTGAGGTTTCTACACCCTTGGTTTAGAGAGGTGGGAGAGCCAGGGAGGGGTCCGTGCCTCTCCCAAGGCCAGGGGGTAGGATCTGAATGAGCAGCAATAAAGCTGGAAGCCTCCGGCCTGATAAAGATGCAGGCTCTTAATGAGGGACAAGCCAGGTGAAATACAGTCAAGGCAAAGGAATGTGTTTCAGCTCCTTTGAGGAGAAGAGAGGACTGTGGGGGCAGGAGACAGAATTCAGCATGGGCTAGTGTCTGCAAAACAAGTGGGAATGAAGAGACTTGAGAGAGGGAGGCTGAACTTTTGCTATTCCAGGGCATGGCGCAAGAGCTCTTTAGGGCAGCGGCTGTCTTCTCTTTTCGGTAAGGACTGTACACATTTCAGGCACTGTATGACTAGTGTACAGCTGGCAAGAAATGAGGGGAGGAGCAAAGACTGAATCCAGAGGGATCGGAGTGGTAGGAAGGGGTGAATGACTCCTGCCCTCAAATATAGAACAAAGTGAAGTGCTGTAATGAGGACTGGGTTTATAAATAGAAAAGGGGATTATGTCTCCAATGGGAATGCTCAACAGGCCCCTGCTTAGGCCAGGAATGCGGGTGAGTAAAACGGAACAGCTAGCAGAAGAGAGCAGCCGGAGCAGGGGCTTTTGTCAGTCAAAGAGCAGCGCCCAGACTGCAGATCAGGACATGGGGGGGGGGGGCTGCTCAGATGACACCTATTGAGATTTGGGGGCTGATAAGCTGACAGCGGAGGAGGTGCTGTGTGTGCAAGTCCAGACCTAGGCTGCAACTGAGGCTGGGTGGCAGCGCTGGGGAATGTTGCCTTGTTTTGCAGCCAGAGGCTGATGAAAACCTCTGGGCTACTAAGCAAAATGGGGCTTTACCATTCATTAGAAGAGAGCTGCTTGCAGGAGACCAGCAGAGCTGGAGATGGGGGTGGGGGGGGGGGTAGGGAATGGGCTCAGAAAGGGCTGGGCCATGAGGGACTCTGGAGAAATGACTTTAGGCCCAGACGAATGCCCAGGAGCAACAGCTATCAAAGGCAGCCTCAGAAATGGCCTCGGGGCCTAGAGGAGCTGGGGGAGCTACCCTCCTGCTCCCTTGGGAACCTGTCTTCACAATGGCAGGGACCCCCTGATCTCATCTGCCCCCCCTTGGCCCAGCTTGGCTGAGGTAGGATTCACTCCCAGGCTTTCTGTCTCTTTAATGACTGGCCACTCTCTCGCCCTGCTCTGAACACAGGGTAAAGCACAAATTCCTTCGCACCCCCTGCTCTGTGGTTCTGATGCTTCTCTTGGGCCAAGGAGTTATTCGCTGCACTAAGATGTCAAATAGAAGCTGGATTTCCCCCCACACCCCTTTCCTCCTTGGCAACCGCCCACCCCACCCCAGTTTCCTTACAGGCGATCTCCCACCACCTGCCAGCCAGGCCACAGGCTGCTGGTTGCCAATGGCTCCCAGGGAAAAAGAACAAGCATTTAACGATGCCTGAGTTTACACCCAGTTTACCGTTGCAAAGGAGCTTAGTGTGGCCACATCTGCTTAGCCCCTGGAGCACCACATCTGGGGCCCTACATGGCAAGTAATGCAGGTCATGCCTCAAACACCCATGGGGCAGTAAAGGAGTTAATATGAAATTCTCCCTCCTTAAAAGAGAGAGTCTGAAGGAGTTCATAGTAACAGGCAGTTCCCTGCCCAAGCCCATATGGCTCCCCCACACACCCTAGAAAGGATGGGGAGGGCAGAGAAGGAGAACAGGGTGTTGGGAGAGAGGAACAAGTATCGTGGCAGTTTGGGACTGGCCCTACAGAGCCCTTTCTTAGTCTCCAGGCTGAAGCCTGGCATGATGCTCGTTATCTATAGTAATATGCAATGTGCTAATGAGGAAATCCAAAGCAACACTGACAGGCTTGATAGGTTATCTCTCAGCAGAAGGTCAGTTGCAGCTCAAAAACTTTTCAAACAATCAAATCCCACGGCACCCCACCCCTTCATGCTAGGTTAATTAGGGATTACTTCACCCAGCACCAAAGTGCAACCATATCTGGGGTGGAACACTTTAACAGCACTGCCAACCCCCAAGCATTCAAAAATCACAAAATTGGCTTGAAAATCATGGGGGGGGGGGTGTGTTTGTTTTTTATAAAATCTGTTTTGTTTTTTTTCTTTGCTTTCAGGTTTCTCAGCCTTTAGGGTCATAATCAGGCCATGTTTTCAAGCTGTTTATCTGCAACTACGAGGGATGGAAATCTTTTTTTAAATGAAAGCTGAGATTCTCACAATTGCATACCTCCAGGAGCCGGGGCTTTAAGAAAAGCACCAAATATCAGTTTAAGAGTGGAGGTGAAGACTGCTCTATCTTGTTGAAACTGCAAGGGGGAATTACTCATCCCAAAAGAGGGGTCTGAGACAAGAGGAAGTTGAAGCTTGAACGAAGGCTTACCTACTTGGGGAAACGAACCAGAATAGCTCCCCCTGTGGACACTTGTTCTGGAATAAGCATGCTTTTTTCTAATTGATTGTAATTGGTGGTTTTTCTCAGCAAAAGGGTGAGTTCTGACAGCGATCTGGAGGTGGTGACAGGCCGATATCAGACTGCGTTAGTGCTAGCTTACTCCACTGCTGTAGCTCATCCCTAGTGTCGCGCCATCATCCGTCGCCAAGGTGGGGGGAACTATCGTATAGCCAGGCCGTTAGTGTTTAACCACTCTGCTGTCTGTCTACCGAAAATTAAAATGCTCTACACTCTTTTGACTGCGCTGCGCAATTGTCCGTCTCAGCCACACTCGCAATGGTCTCCCGGTTGCCGGGGCTGGCCTGGTTTTGGATGAGTCTAAACAGATCCCAAAACGTCCAACAGCATCTCGCAGGTGGAGAAGCAATTCAATTAACCGTGAGTTTAAAAAACCCAAACAAGCCCCAGAGAGCGAAAGCCTCTTACTCAGTTAAAAAACGACCAGTTCAACTATTGAAGAATTGTACCACCTGCTGGAGCAATGGGAAATGGCAGTGGCAGGTGTATGTGTGTTGCAAAGCCTCATGTAAAATTAACTAGAATGTGGGTTGGGACTGAGGTCTACTGTCCCGGACTCTCTGTCCTAGCTGCCCAGTGGAACGTCACGGTCTGAGTGGTTTGCAGTGGTGTAGCCACACTGGTCCCAGGCTATTAGAGAGGCAAGATCGGGGAGGTAGTAGCTTTTACTGGATCAACTTCTTTTGGTGAGAGAAACAAGCTTTCAAGCTCTTCTTTGGGCCTCCATGTAGCACGAAAGCCCGTCTCTTTCACCAGCAGAAGGCAGGCCAGTGACAGCTATTACCTCCCCCACCTTGCCAGCCTGACAAGGATATTTCAGAAACACTTCCTGCTCGCGCT